ATTTTTTTGATGTGATTTTAAAAGGGATTCTTTTTTTGCTTTCCTTTTCTGATATTTCATTGTAAGTGTAAAGAAGTGCAACAGATTTCTGTATGTTAATCGTGTAACCTGCTACCTTGCTGAGTTTCTTTATCAGCTCTAGTAGTTTTTATGTGGAGTCTTTAAGGTTTTCTATATGTAATATCATGTCATCTGCATGTAGTGGACAGTTTTACCTCTTCCCTTCCAATTCAGATCCCTTTTATTTCTTTTTGTCTGATTGCTATGGCCAGGACTTCCAGTACTTTGTTGAATAGAAGTAGTAAGAGTGGACATCCTTGTCTTGTTCCAGATTTTAGCAGGAAGGCTTTCAACTTTTCATCATCGAGTGTTATGTTAGCTGTGAGTTTGTCATATATAGCTTTTATTATGTTGAGGTATGTTCCCTCTATACCCACTTTAATAAGAGTCTTTATCATGAATGGGTGTTGAATTTTATCAAATGCTTTTTCTGCATCTTTTGATAAGATCATGTGGTTTTTGTTCTTTCTTTGTTGATGTGGTGTATCATATTGATTTGCATATGTTGAATGATCCTTGTGACCCTGGGATAAATCCTACTTGATCATAGTCAGTGATCTCTTTTATATGTTGTTGGATTTGGCCTGCTAATATTTTGTTGAGAATTTTTGCATCTGTAATCATTGAAGATACTAGTCTATAATTTTCTTTTTTGATAGTGTCTTTGGTTTTGGTATCAGGGTGATGGTGGCTTCATAGAACGAGTTTGGGAGTGTTCCCTCTTTTCAGTATTTTGGAAGAGTTTGAGGAGGATCGGTATAAGTTCTTCTTTGTATGTTTGGCAGAATTCCCCAGTGAAGCCTTCTGGTCCTGGACTTTTGTTTGCAGGGAGTTTTGTTTTGTTTTGTTTTGTTTTTTAATTACAGATTCTATTTCACTTCTAGTAATTGGTCTGTTCAAATTATCTATTTCTTCTTGATTCAGTTTTGGTGGACTGTATGTTCCTAGGAACTTGTCCATTTCTTCTAGGTTGTCCAATTTGTTGGCATTTAATTGTTCATAGTATTCTCTTACAGTTTTTTTGTATTTCTGCGTTATCAGTTGTAATTTCTCCTCTTTCATTTCTTATTTTGTTTAGTTGGGTCCTCTCTTTTCTTCTTGGTAAGCCTAGCCAGAGGTTTGTCAATTTTGTTTACTCTTTCCTTTCTGACCTTTATTATTTCTTTCCTTCTGGTGACTTTAGGTTTTGTTTGTTCTTCTTTTTCTAGTTCTTTTAGTTAGTAGGTTAGGTTGTTTATTTGAGATTGTTTTTGTTTTTTGATCACTGTGAACTTCCCTCTTAGAACTGTTTTTACTGCATCCCATAGATTTTGTGTGGTTGTGTTTTCTTGAGTTTGATTTTTAGTTAGGTATGAATAGTTCCATATGTAATGATTTAAAATTTTATAACACTGAATTTTTATAGTCAAAGAGAATTATTTTTTATTTTCCAACATTTTCCTGTTGTTACTGTAATTATCTCTTGTCCTAATCCAGTTTTCCCAGAAGAGACCAGTTATAGGAAGAGAAGAAACACACACTTTTGTTAGTATTGCTTTAAACTCTAGGCACTTTTTTGGCCCAGTATAATTAGCTTAGTATCACCCACATACTGAATAAATGAACTCATATGTCAGGCATCTACCTCAGTTTTATTATCTCTGGTTCCAATTTTTGTTCGGTCACTGAGCAAGTGTTTGAGAATTTACTTTGTGCTAGGCACTGTAGGCTATTTTTTTTTTCTGAAATGGAGGTACTGGGGATTGAACCCAGGACCTTGCGCATGCTAAGCATGCACTCTACCACTGAGCTATACCCACCCTGCTAGACTGTGTTAATGAGCTTCTTCTCCTGTCCTTGGAGTACCAAGTGTCATTGTCATGTAGTTTTGATCCCAGTTTTCTGCCAAATAACTGGTCTTGTGTCATATTTTCCTTTGTTTATAAACACAGAGACCCGTCTGGCCACCTTGGATCCAGACGGTGTGTGGTTGGGGAACCGTGGGCTGAAGTGGGCCTAGAGACTTCAGGAGCTGGGCCCAGTGCTGCAGCCAGGCTCCTCTCTATCAGTTTCTCCAAGCAGCTCTGCCTCTCTGTGGGACTTCTCCCTATCCTCCTTCCTTTTGGCCCTTTCTCTGTGTATATCTGGTCCAGATTCCAGAAGGAACCTGTCTGACTGACTTGAGTAGCTGCCGTTGCCCTGTTGGGCAGAGTCCAGACTCAGGAGTTGCTGATCAGCCTGTGATTGGGCCCTGCCTTGGATCAGTGTCTGTTGCCCCCATCCAGAGAGTGGCCATCTCGATGTTCCTCCCCACACTACTGAGTCAGAAGCTGTTATAACCAAAAAGGTAGTTCCCCTGTCTGCTCTGTACCTAGGATAGTACTGGGCTTAATGAATATTTGCTAGTGGGTGCCTGAATGGGATACAGATTGTCAGGCTCTGGGGTTAACTGTCAGGTTCATGTTCGGTTGGTTGGTTGGTTGGGGGAGGTAATTAGGTTTACTTATTCTTTGAGGAAGTACTGGGGATTGAGCCCAAGACCTTTACCTCTTGAGCTATACCCTCCCCCCATGGTTCATATTTTGAATCAAAATTGGAAAAACAAAATTACACCAAATTACAGGCCTTTTTTTGGAGATTTTATTAGATAAAGTTAGTAGTGGACTATTGGATTTCCACCAAGGTAAAAAGCTCTCTCCTAACGGAGTATCATTTGTGCTTGAGTGAGATACAAGAGGATTCCCAGTTTGCAAGAGATCTTATTACAGCTCTAACCTCTGTGGACCAGAGAGATTTTAGATCCAAGCATTTCAGTCATTTAAAAGGTATCTACTGACATTTACCATGTTCAGTAAATCAGCCCTGGGAATATAACAGAGGACAAAACAGAGATGAGATTCTTGCCTTCATTGAGCTTATGTTTTACTGTTTCAACTAAGATTTGCTATGCCACCCTTTCTGTTAGCTGGAGTCAGCTTATTGTAATAGATTTTACCCAGTTCCAGAAAAGTCAGTAACATAGCTGAGCTCTTGTTTTCTTGGTGTGTGTTTGTGTCTGTTCATTTCCAGTATTTTTATATGTAATCTTTGGGGTCATTCTTAATTCAGAGTTTTATAAAAATTATTTAGTACAGTACAGTTGAGGTTAATATTGTGAAAATCTGCTGAAGAAGCTACAGCAGAGGAGTCTGACATCAACCCTGGAATTTGTTCAGTAAGCCAAAGGACATGTTTATGGTTGAACCTGATCTTGGGTTACACCTCCAAACACCTGTAGGTTAACTGAGCAGGTTTTTATTCCTCAGCAATTTCACTTATCACTTGCAGAGAACTTTCTCCCTTTAGGAGGGGACTATCCAGTTCTGAGTCCACACACTCTTTGGGCCTTTAACCTCACGGGAGACAGACTCAGAGGTGGAAGCATTTAGGAAAGGAAAAGTTTACCTGCAAGAAAGCAAGAGAGGGCTGGCTTACCAGATGAAAACACAAGTAATTTCAAGGAAAAAAGCAAGACCTGCCAAGGTTCCCAGGTTTGCATTAGTCTGTCCGTAGTGGAAAAGCAGTAACTCTCCCACATGATTATCTTTTTGCACAGGTCGTGACAACTTGTCAGACTTCAGCATAGCAAAAATCAGGTATAAAATTGCTTTGTTAGGGAATCTGTGTTTGTGGTTTTATTGTTTTTGAGATCAGAAGCAGTTAGATGACCCTGTTACTTGCAGTTTGTCTCAGAGGGTGACATGTATTCTGATTGTGATATGAGAAGAGCTTACTGAAGCAGGGCAAAGTGACATTTTGCTTCTACACCCTCCAGAATCCATAAGCTCCAGGAGGAAAAAGGGCCCAAGGGAGAAACATGACTGCAGCCTTATTTCTGTCTCCTGGTCAAGTGATAAGCCTTTGCTCCAGTGGTTTTTAACCCTGACTGCTGTTAGAATCACCTTGAAGTATTCAGAAACTCCTATAGCAGCATTTTCACTTAAATAAAAATTTAATTGGTCTGTCATGGAGCCTGACTATTGATGTTTTTAAAAGTACCGCCGGTAATTGTAATGTGCGGTGGAGGCTGAGAACCACTTCTTTTATCAGTGCATAGTACTGGAACTTCTCGTTACAGTGGTTTTTAAAGGCCAGCTTACAGTTTGGTTATGTCATGCTTCTTTTATAGATGCTTGAAATTCTGTGCAATTTCTCTGAAGGAAAAACGGAGAGGAAGAGCTCTCCTATTTCCTGTTACCTCCGTTGCTGCTTGGTCAGTTAAAGGAGGTCATCGATACTGT